AAATGCTGAAGCAACAGCTTCCCAGTTCTAATAAGCATGCTGAGCCTATAAAAAAACTACAGTAACATCTAAATCCTCCTCAAGCTACTAATATACGTTCAGAATTAACTGCTTGTTTGCGTTAATTCACTAACTACTAATTTCTTATTGCTGTTTTAACCATTCCAGTAATTTTAAGGCCATGATCCTGAAATCATATTCCAACTGAGCCAAAGCTCCTTTGCATGTGTTAACAGATAACCAGTTCATCCATTCACTGAACTAAACATGAATAAGAAAGATTAAACAATCATAACTTTTTTTTTCATATTAATTCCTCAGAATACAGACCTTCCATGCAGCATCAGGAAAGCCTGTGGTGTAACATAAACAGAGTGTTTACACATTTGCTATTTTTGATGTGGGTTTATTTTTTTATACAGTTTCCTTCTGGGATGATGCAAATTATTTCACTAACATCTGTCAGTCTCAGCAAAGTGAATTACCAGATCATTTACTATACATCTAACTTTCAAGTAAACACAGAATGGAACAGGTCTTTCAAGATTTAAAAATATAAAATTCCAAAAGCACTTCTTTTCTTCTTTTAGTGCATTTTCTATACATCATATTGATAAGGATTTAAGAACATGTTTGCAAAGAAAATGCTACAGAGTGGATCCCGTGGTATTTATTTAGAAAAAAAAACTGGATACAAATTAATAATGCATATTTCAGGCATGCCAAATGTGATATACTTAACAATGTGTGTTCTTGATGTCCTTGAAGAGCAAAGTCGACCTCTTTGAAAAAGAAGAGTCTTCCCTTTAGAGCTCCATCTGCTAAAATACTTCATCACCTCGAAATCAAAAATATAAATTCTTTCTAAATTGTAAGATACTAACAGAATCATCTTCTGAATTCATCCCTATCTGTTCTATTCACCCTTTACCTCAAATCACTGTCACCCTGAGAGGGAGGACTATGAGCAAGGGCAATCAATGAGCAGCTGCTAAGTCTGTAAGCAAAACAAAGTATTTTGCATATAAATATTCTTATAATAAAAAGTGTAGATATTGATATTACATTTGTCCTTAAGGTTTTTCATGTAGTAACAATGATGAGCAAAGATTTATCTATACAGAACAACAGCAGCTTAACTAAAGCTATGCTATTACTCCAAGTCAAGAAAGCTAGTGGAAATGTGAATATGTGCATGCTCACACTCTCTGTAAACCTGGCTTTTATTGACTTAAGCCTGCAACATCCGATCTTTAGACAAATAGGAGCAAACTGTATACACCAGGCCTAAATGGCTTAAAAAATCCTGCTAACCATCAGTGTGTAGACTTGCTTTTGTGCATCATTAGCACATTTTTTGCCTTAAGAAGTTAATAGAAAAATATTACATGACAACATTCATGTGCACAGTGTCTGTAAAAGACACTTGTGTCCGCTCTCAGTCATTAATGCCCTTTGAATCTTTCATAATACTGATGGGCGGGGGGAGAAGTGCAATAACAGTAGCACAATGTTTGTTGAAGCACAGTATTTAACTGACATTTAGAAAAGCTGGGCTGGGAAAGCTGAAGGATTGCTTCCCTCACTATCCTATACCCCCACAGCCAGCCATTACGAATATGCTGGAAATTTCTTCTCCTTCATTTCTGCAGGCCCAGCATGACAAAGTGAGAGAGAAGACTGTACATGACAGCTACCACAACACAGCATCAGCACCTGGTCACAAGCTATGTGTACATACAGTATCACAAACCTACTGCAGCATTGTATAGGGCCCATTACTAGAATCCAGAAGCTGATGCAGTGCACAAAAATAGTTCACTAAAGTTATAACAAAGGCAAAAAAACTAATTTTAAAAAATAGTAAATATAGTACTGTAGAATACTTTAGGAATTCTGAGAAAACTACTAATAACACATGTTCTTTAACCACTACCTTTTCACACCTTAACTTCACATAGAAAGCATGTAACAAAGTACAACTGCTCATTTTTTTTACTTATTCAATTCGTATCAGCTCTTACAATGGCTTATGTGATATGAAAATAGCAACTAGGAATTTTACTAACACTCTCTCCATCAAACCAAGCTTAAGTTACTGTCATGAACTTTGAAATATTGTTTGAGTCATGCCAAAATAAACCCTCTGTTAGTTCAGTTCTAACTGTTTTATCTAATAATAAGCTAACTCAAGGTAAGAGGTTGGCTCCTAGCCTAATCTTGTTTAGAGTCTCAGCTTTTCTCTTTTAGGTACTTTCTGTGAAAACCAGCTCTGCTTTGTAGACATTTCTATTAAGTATTGTAACAGTGTCTGACAAATTACCTTATGATGTCAAATAGCACTAAACCCCATGGAACCAGGTACTGCAGGATTTCCACATAGTCCTTACGCTGAAGCCAATTCCCATTCCAGTAATTCAATCCAAGCAGTTGGGTTTGGGGTATTCTGGGTTTTGGGTTCGTTTGGGGTTTTTCGTGAGGTTTTTTGTTTGGTTTTGTTTTTTAAGATTAGAATTCTGGTTTTGTACTGAGCACATCCAGTGAAAGCACTGTGGCTTTTTTCCACTTGGAGCCATAGTGAAAATCAAACTAAAACATACAGAAATACAAGGTAGATGTACACTTACAACCTACACAAGTAATGCTGCTTTTTTTGGAAATAAGCTTATGCAACTTTTTCTTACAGAACTTAAGATTATTTAAAATTATATATTTATGGTCTTTCTCACGTTGTGTCTGGAAAATGAGGAGAGACTGAATGAGTTGGGCCTTTTCACCCTGGAGGAGGCACAGAGGGCACCTCATCACAGTCTTCTAGTACTTAAATAGCAGGCAGAAAGAGGATGGATGCTCTCTCTTCACAAGGAGCCACATGGAGATAACAAGGGGAAATGGGTACAAGTTGCACAAGGAGAAGTTTCATCTTGATATAAGAAAGAATTTTTTCATAGTGAGAACATTCAATTACTGAACAATCTCCCCACAGACATGGCATCGAATCCCTACCACTGGAGGCTCTTAAAACATGACTGGGCAGGGTGCTAGATAGATTATCTAGGCTCCCTTCCCCACAAAAGGCTGGACCAGATGATGTTTTGAAGTCCTTTCAACCTGGGCTGTTCTATGATTCTGTGAAAATAAAAATAAAAAATTATTTCCCAAAGTTACTGCAAAAATAGTGAACAAGGATTGAGCAAAGAACTAGTAAAGTCATAAAAAGGCATCCAAGAATGGCAGAATCTAGAAAGCTACTGTGTTGCACTTTTGTTATCAGCTATACTTAAATTTTATTGTATAATGTATTCACAATGGGAAATGCACATCATGCTTGGGTCTTTTACTTTACACTGGAAGAAATTACAACTTTGAAAATACTTTGCTAGATCTCCCATCCCTGGAAGCATTCAAGGCCAAGTTGGATGGGCCTTTGAGCAACCTGGTCTGGTGGGAGGTATCCCTGCCCATGGCAGGGAGGTTGTAACTGGATGACCTCTAAGGTCCCTTTCAACCCAAACCATTCCGTTATTCTATGACTCTATGGTGTCCTCTTCACCTCTAATGTGGCAAAAAGTACAAGCACGCACACAGAGGATGCTGGGGGATATGGGAACAGTTCAAAGCCCCAAATGAGTCCTGACATCTGGGAGATGTTGCCCCTCAAAGAGGCAACGAATGTTATCAATTAGCACCTCTCTTGCCAATACTTTCTCTATTTGAATCTTGGTGGAAACCACAACCTCTCATAGCTACACATTCACACATCTGATGACTCTTAGCTCTTTACCTGTAACTGCACGCCACTCAAAACTTGCCAATACCAATCATTTCATTTAATGTGAAATGCAGTTGTACATATGTCCTTATCAAATATCATCTACAGTTAGCAGATTGAGTTTGTCCATAACCACATGATCTCCTAGGGCAACCTGCTCTATTTATTTTTTTAATGAATAAAACCCCCAATAAACAGCCTGTCTTCAGGAAAACCAGACTGCTAACATAGACCCATTTTAGGTTACAAAATGAATACCTCTGATGCTATCACACTTTCCAGACACTGGAATTCATCCTTTACTTTTCCCGATGAGATGCCAAGCACTTTGGGATAGAATGTAAAGGAAAATAATTTAAGAAAACTATGAAAACAGAAGTAATTAGAACAAGAAAGCTGTATGACCGCTGAGATAAAACTTAAATTCTGAAAACTTAGAAAACAAGAAAAAATGTAAATAAATGGTACAGTCTGGTTCTTACTTAAGGAGACCGCTGCTACTGCTAGCAAATTCTCCTACAGCACTAAAAAAAGGATTCTGAAGTTGAAAGTTCAAATAGAAAAGATCAAGGAAAGAGACTGCAACACACTGGAGCAAGAGTTACATCTCAAAAATTATTAAAAATATTGAACAAAAGATTCTATTTCACACAGGAAAATATCTGGCAGGAAAAACACACGTGAAAAATAATCAAATTTTTTTACATAAATGTTAGCCTCAAAATACATAAAAATATTATACAAGAAAATAACATACCACCAAACTGAACGGTTCAAGGTTTAACAAGTGAACTTCAATATTTGTAGTGAAATCAATCCTCATTAGTAATATGCGAACATCATTACGATATCTTATGGTGTTTCAGTGCCCTACATGAAGTGAGTTAAAAGTTTAACTAAATCACTCACTGACCTAATGATCACATCATTCTTGCAACAAAACAAGAGCTAATAGTTTCAGAAAGGTCAGACTTCACTATCTTCCTCCTTTCATGGAAAGCCCTTTAGGCTTGTGAAGGAGACAGCACTGTCAACAAAAGCTGTCACTACTGCTGTCTCTACTATGTAGGACCTGCAAAAAAGTACTCCAATCTTCTGTACTCTCAACTCACAACCTTTCACCACTAGTAGAAACCTCACATGCGTTACTTGCAAAAACTGTCAAAAACTTGACCACTGAGTATAAAACTGCAGACGTTTTGCTGTGGACTGGACACAGGCCAGATGCATCTTTTTACTACAACATGCAGCTTGCTAAGAAGATATCGCAATTGAGGCAGTGAATGTCTGATCAGTTGCTCAGAAAACTTTCATAAAATGATTTTGAATTAAGGCTTCTATACGGGACATCAGCATACTCATATCAGCAGCACAGACCTGGTGATCCTCATTCCCCTTCTTTTTCAGGGTCTCCAATAGGCCCCAGTGGACTGGAGGCAGAGGGCTGTAAGAACTCAGCAAGTGAAGCTGACTTAATGGATTCTGTTTTATTTCTGCAATCCTCAAGGCTCTCAAGATAGCAGGTGCAAACTTAAAATAATGAGCTGTAGATGAAATAATAATTGGGCATGTTCTATCTTGTAATCGATCTGCAACTACTTTAGCAACAGCTGTGTGTGTATCCAAAATATATCCTGTAGTGCTGTATACAGAGTGAATGGCAGCTAAACAGTCCTCCTCAGAGCACCATTGCTGAAGCTTTTCAAGGAGATCTTTCCGTAGCTGGAAGTGGCCCTGATTTTCCAGCTGGTTATACAATTGTGTCACCAGTTGTCCATCTTCATTAGCAATCAGGTGCAAGTATCGCTCAAGATTGGAGGACTTTAAAATATCTACTGCTGGAGAAAAAGTGGGAATTAATTTTCTTCCCCTCAAATCATAAACACCTGTTCTTATGAAGTCAGTCAAAACATTGTTCTCATTGGAAGCACAAATACATTTTCTAATAGGAATTCCCATCATTTTAGCATACAAAGAGGCTAATATGTTGCCAAAGTTTCCTGTGGGAATGCAAATATCTACAGGGCTTCCAAAAGGTATAATATCTCGATGAACAAGATCAAGGTATGCAGAAGCATGATAAACTATCTGAGGAAGCAGCCGTGCCCAGTTTATGGAGTTTGCTGCAGCTAAAGAAGTTCCATATTCTACTGTAAGAAAGCCAGTATAATCAGAATTAGTAAAGATTTGCTTTATAGCTGTCTGACAAAAATCAAAATCAGATTTGACACCCACTGACCAGGCATTTTCTTTCTGACAGCCAATCATCTGTGATTTTTGAATTGGGCTTACTCCATCCTCAGGAAAAAAATTCATCACAGCAATTCTCTGTTTGTCACTGTCATGGAGACGACTAAAGCCATCTAGGACAGCACTCCCTGTATCACCAGAAGTAGCTACCAGAACCAAGTAATTGCAGCTTCTGGGAATGCAATATGCAAATATATGTGGCACTATCTGTAACGAAAAATCTTTAAATGATGCTGTTGGTCCATGAAATAACTCCAGGAGAAACTGATTGCCTGCCAGATGCCTAACTGGGGCAATTTTAGAACAAGTAAAGTTTTCTCCATAAGCAGTTCCAATAATTTCTGCCAGCTTAGAAGCAGGAATATCAGCAGGATGTATGCATCTTTCCAGTATCACCTGGGCTCTTTCACTGTAAGTTGCTTCTATTAGGCTTTGCCATTCTCCAGCAGTGAATTTTGGAAGTCCTCTCTCAGGAACAAAGAGTCCTCCATCAGGGGCTAGGCCCTCAGTAACAACATCACTGAAATACTTATGAGACTCTTTTTCTGTACTCCTTCCAGACCTACTAGACCTAGTTGAAATGAAAGTTTCCAGTTCTGAGTTTTGATATCTCTTCACAGCATCAAGTACCTTTTCTGCTACAACCTCTGCTTCAATATCCCCTCCACAAAGAACACGGATGTCATACCACCTTTTGTAGAACTGCTTCCTAAACTGAAGTATGTCCTTGAGAGAAACACCAGGAGAATTGCCCACGATGCGATCCACTTTCATTGATTTCAGCCTGCTCATAATGACTGTTGTGGGCACATCCAGATATACTACTATTCCATTTTTCTTCATATGCTGCATGCCAGCAGAATGCATTGGATTGGACCCAGTGAGGGAAACGACACTTCCAGATGCTGAAAACTTCAACAGGGCTTTTCCTTCCTCCTCTAAAAATTGCTCATTACCAACATCCTGCAGTTTTTCTGACACACTCATGTTCCAGGTTGCTTCAAGGACATCGTCATCTATGTCTATGACAGGGCAGTCTAGTTTCTGACCTACTATTCTCCCAACCGTTGTTTTCCCAGCACCCGGAGGTCCCATCAAGATAATATTTTTGTTTCCAACAAGAGAATGGCTTGAGAACCATGACTTCCATATCTGTGAAAAGGCAACAGGTCTTGAAAGCATGAGTTTTAAACACACACTGGAAAGACTGTTTTGGGTTATTAGTCTTAAAGGCCGATACTGAACAATGTGCACCATATTCTTCTGCTGGGCTGGTTGGTTGGGTTTGTTTTTTTTTCCCCAAGTCAACGTGACAATCCACTTAACTGCTCCAAAAAGAAAGAAATAATAATTAGTGCTTCAGTAAACATCTAGGAAAAAACCCTAAAGGATAAGAAATTCAGAACAACAAGAACTCAAACATAAATCCACTTATGATTTCAGCAGTGCCAGGGAGATACTTTTCAGAATAAGACTCATTTCCCTCTCCTGCATAGTTCCAGCTTGCTTCCACTGACAAATCCAACTTCAAACAGCATAAACAAAGACATCCAAACCTAACACTACAATACTATTTACAAATAATATTGCTTATAGGAATCCAAAACCAATTAGTTTTTCCTCTAGTAGACTTAGTTTTAAGTACATATTTACAAAAAATGAAGATTAGCTAAATTACCTTCTTGTAATAAAAATGTTAACAAAATATGCATTCTTTCCAAACTCCCAAGATGCCTTTCATTACTTATGTTTTTTTCCAAAAAAACCTGCATGCAAGACTAACTTAAATACACAGAAAACTCACAGACTTGTGCAACAGCAAGGCTGGAAGAGTTGCATCCAATTCTCTTCTGAAGTGGCAGCAAACTAACAACTGATTGTGAAGAGCTCCTATAATGGAATTATATAGAATGTAGTTCCTGTAGAGTGAGAGAGAGAGAAAGAACACGTCATGAAGACACTCTATCTTCAAACAAAAAAATTCACTAGAAAAGTTGGATGTCCAACAAAGATTAGGCAATGAGCTCCTAACATGGTATTTTGTTTGCTTAGAGAAATCAACACCAGTATCAGCATGAATTGCAACACAGAGTTTGTGCATAATGTTTAGGGCAAAGAGGGAAGGATTCTCAAAATCTCCACAAAGCAGGACACAAATTTGCACAGAAAACCTCTACAGAGTCATTTTTTGGTTTAGGTAGGCAAACAAGTATCACTTTGTTGTTGCTATTTATTCATTGTTCATGACTAAAAATACCTAAAGTAAAGCTGAACTTCCTTTTAGGAAATTAATGAAATTTTAGATGTAAAATCCAACTCAGTAATTACTCATAAATTC